GGTTTATCATAAAATATACTTTAGCCACACAACTTAGAAATTTATCTAGGTGAAAAAATAATGTCATCTAATATAAGAAGGGTGTGTCAGAGATATCAGTGTCAGGTATGAAGAAAGAACCAAATGTCTAATGCAGAGGGTTGGGGGGGGGAAAGAAGTTGTATAAGCCAATCAGGCATTACGTTGGAATTGGACACTTTTCTGTGAGAAGCAGACGAACAAATTGGAACAATGTCTGCAGTTTTGCAAAAGGAAAAACATGACCTCTGGAACAGGACTGCGTTTTGGTGTTGAGTTAATGGCATTGCTGATTCTCCATCCAGATGACCATTACAGCGAGACAGACCGCACAAGAAAGACGACAGGCGTCATAGAAAAAGATCCAGAAAATTTGACTAATAGTAACAAGCTGTAGAGAAAAAGACGGTTGGTGGGCATGAACAAAAGACAGGAGGGTGACTTGCAAAGAGGATGAATAAAACAAGATTGGAAAGGAAGTGAAGAGGTTGTGAATAGGATGAGAAAAGAAGGAAGGACAGATATGTATAAGTAGGAAAATGAGAAAGAAGAAGGAGAAAGAAGAAGCAGAAAAAGAAGAAAAAAGAACAAGAAAGAAGAAGAAGAAGAAGAAAGAAAGAAAGAAAGAAAGAAAGAAAGAAAGAATGAAAAATATGTGTGAGAAAAATAACTAAATGTGAAAGTGAAAAAGAAAGGGGGAGAGAGAGAGAGTGGTGAGGAGGGAGATGGAATAAAATTGGAAGTATAAAAGGAAGAGGAAAATGAAGGCAAAATGAAAGAAAGAAAAGGAAGACGAATAAAAAAAATGAGAAACCGAGAGATGGTGGGCACAGGGAGAGAGAGTGAATGAATAAAGAAAAGGAGGGATTAAAAGCAAATACTTAGAGAAGGAGGAATGGGTGAAGAATAAATAGCAACTTCGAGAGAAAAAGATAGAAAGACAGAGAGAGAGAGAAAACAGTGTGAAAGGAAAAAACGGAAAGAAATATAAAAAGGCAACTATTTAGTGACAAAAGAAGGGAAAAGAGTGAATAAAGACTTAGAAAGAAAGAAAGAAAGAAAGAAAGAAAGAAAGAAAGAAAGAAAGAAAGAAAGGGATAAAGAGATAGTAGAAAAGACGAAACAAGGGAAAAGGAAGATAGAAATAGTTGGGAGAAAACTGAGGAAGAACAAATAAATTAAAACCAAAGGTTCTTATTTGAAAAAAGTGGAAGAAGTCAATAAAAGAAAGAGGGTTCGAAAGAAAAAGAAATAAGAAAAGAGAAAAGAAAAAAAACGATGGAGACAGGAGAGAGATTAAAAGAGAGGTGGATTGGTTATAAAATGAATGAAAGCCAAAGATAGATAAAGATGAAGAGAAGAGGAAATAAGAAAGAGACGTCATCACTCGTGAGATGGCCATTAAGAGATACGTAACACAATAATCTGGCGCCATTTCGTCTTCAAAACCTAGACCAGGTACAATAAATAGTAGTAATGTTTCAATTCCAGACCCCACAGAGATACTGACACGAACAGCAATATAGTCATAAATGAAGAAAATGTGCTTCTGTTTTGTTTTGTTTTTAGTCCAAGTGACGTCACTTTGCAAATCTAACACGACACGTAAAAAGCAAACATATTTTCAAATTTTCATGTTTATAACTGCCTTCAAACATCTGAACGAATTTCAAACTAATTTTCAAAAATGATTTATGTGTCGCCGAATATTCTTAAATCATTAGTGGTTCGATAAATTTAAGCAAGACTATACTAAATACGTTTATGTGTGTGCAACATAGTTTATATATATAAAGATATTTGTTATGTTTATACGTTCTTTTTATAGATACAAATATTTAAGTAAATGCTCTGTTTATAATAAACAATATTAACTGGTCTGAATGTCCGAGAAATTGACATAGAAAATATGCGTCCTCCGACAGGAATCGAACTTGTATCCTATACGGAACCGTCGTATAGCCTGTCGTGCTTTTACCGATTGAGCCACAGACGAGCGTTCCGGTTAGCAAGGTCGATTTTACTGTTTTTAAACCACAATTCCCCATGATTTTCTCTCATACATTCATATCTGCTCGACACGTATCCAAATGTAAACAAATGACGTCAATTATTTTAAGACAATAATTTTAAGACAATAATTAAAATAATTGTTGGACTATGTCCATTTTATATATATATATATATATATATATATATATATATATAAGGAAATATAGTCTTAAGGTGTGCTATATTTACGGGATAAAGTGCTCAATATCAGAGATAGAGCGTGTGTAAATATAAAAGTGAACATAGAAGTCAACACTTAGAGGTGACAGTCTGTTTCATGCTATATGCAATCGTCAGGCCACATGTGGCCTGACGATTACTCATGGCTGACGACTTCGCCTCTAAGTGTTGACTTCTATATATATATATATATATATATATATATGAATAAAAAATGACAATAGGAAAACTAGTAATTGCTGACGCGTTT